TATTTTTTATACTTCAGTTTCTTTAGCTACTAGTATCTCCCTCCTCCCTCCCTCTCCCCCTCCCTCCCTCCCCCCCCTCTCTTCCTTACAGTCAAGTTTGGGAAGTTTTCAGCAACTCTACCTTAAAATTAAAATGTCTTTTCTGATATTGATATTCTTTTCACTTAAAAATTTATTTTCTCTCATGTTTTTTATTTTGGATAGTTTTAAAGTTCACAAATAATTTCTTTTATAGTGTTCAATATGATGTCAAACCCTTTCAGTGTATTTTTCGTCTTATAGTTTTCAGTCCCAGAAAATAATTTTAAGTCTTTTTTGTCTTTCATGTCTCTATTTAACTTTTCAAACACAGAGAATATTAAACTAGCTGTTTTAATGTCCTTCTATGATCATTCTATCATTCATGTCTACTCTGAGGTCAGTTATTAATTGATTTTTGGTCATGTTTTTTTGCTTCTTTTCCTGCATAGCAATCTTTGATTAGATTCTAATCATTAATGGATAATTTTGTATTTATTCATATCTTTTTGAGCTTTGTTCTGAAAGAAAGTTTAAWACTATTTAATTCTTTCAGGTTTTTCCTTTAAGGTTTATTAGATCTGCAGTTGTTCAATCTACAACAATTATTCCCCATGACTGAAGTATGACCTTCCTGAGAATTTTCAACTCAATATTTTATGAATTACGAGGTTTTCCAGTCTGGCTTGTGGGAATAAGCACTTTTCYCCCTCCTCTGTCAGCACCAGTGCTAATCTCCAAATCTTTTCAGATGGCTTTTTTCCTGTCCTCAGGTTGTCCCATAAAGCATGCCCTGATCCATAAAAGGGAACCCTCTACATGTTGCTGACCTTCTCTCTCTGCTCAGCTCTTTCCCGTATTATTCTGTCCTATAATCCAAGCCGCCTTAGTTTACCCAGCCCATGGGCTCCATTTTCTCAAGGCATGGAGTCTGTTTGTCTCTGCCTTAATTCACCCTCATTAGACTATAGCCTGGAAATTCTCTTAAGGCAATGTTGGAGCAGCTGTAAGGCCCACTTTGTTTTCTAACTCTTTGAGATTATTGTCCTTAATTGTCTGATATTCAGTTTCTTGAAAATTGTTGTTTTACATATTTTGTCTGGTTTATTTTGATTGCCTCAATCAAAAGGATAAATCTATTCCTTTTTATTTTATCTTGGCAGAAGCAGAAAATTTTGAATCTGTTAATTTTTTTTTCTAGTAACCCTCAGTAGTCATGAACATATGAGGAAAGGAGAACTGTTTGGATCTGTAATAATATTTTGGCTTCAGGTTGGTTTGGAGGACAAAAGGTAAAAATAATTGAGGTTACTGACAAGAGAGTGCTTAAAATTATGAACCACATTATCTAAATTGGAAAGAGAAGAAAGCATAGGTAGGAAAGGGGACTGATATGTAAAGCAGTTAATACTTAGGAGATCAGAGGACAGATATGAAAGCCAGGTGAAAGAGTGAAAAAGCTAGAAATATCAGAGACTGGAATAATTTAATTTTATTTTTCTTAAGTTAAAGCACTTCTGACTAGTGACAAAAGCAGAATGTGACCATGGAAAGGAATAGCTCAAGTGAAATTCAAATTAACCTCGATGAAATTGAAGGTGGCCAAAGAGCTGAAAAGAGAGGTGTTTACATGGGTATTAATGTTGCCCAGAATAACAGAGGATCTTGAGGTGCCA